AGCGGAGCAGTTTTTTTTTTTTTTTTTCCTTACCTGTCGTTTATCTCGCGACCTATCGCTAACGAATTTAAAAAAAAAGAAGAAAAAGAAGATCGTTGGAAGAAGAGGAGGAGGAGAGAAGAATAAGAAGAAGAAGATGAGGGGGAGGACGACGACGAGAGATGAAGAAGAAGAAGAAGAAGAAGATGGGCGGAAGAGGAGGAGGAGGAGAGAAGAGAAAGAAGAAGAAGATGAGTGGGAGGCGGAGGAGGAGAGAAGAAGAAGAAAAAGAAGAAGAAGAAGAAGAAGAAGAAGAAGATGTACTATGCCAGCGTTAGGGTATGGCGGCGGCGTGGGGGTATGACGGTGGGGTATGGCGGCGGGGTACGGCGGACGGAAGAGTAGTAGGAGAGAAGAAGAAGAAGAAAAGATGAGTGGGAGGAGGAGGAGGAGAGAAGAAGAAGATAAAGAAGAAGAAGATGAGAGGGGGAGGAGAAGCAGTGAAGAACTCGAAGAGGAAGAAAAGCAGAACTATAAGAAGAAGAAGAAGAAGAAGAAGAAGAAGAAGAAGAAGAAGAAGAAGAAGAAGAAGAAGAAGAGATGGGGAGGAGGAGGAGGAGACAAGAGGCGAAAGAATGAGATGATACGGGGAGGAGCAGCAGTGAAGAACTCGAAGAAGAAGAAAAGCAGAACTAGAAGAAGAAGAAGAAGAAGAAGAAGAAGAAGAAGAAGAAGAGATGGGGAGGAGGAGGAGGAGACAAGAGGCAAAAGAATGATCGGAGAAGGAGCAGGAGAGTAGAAGAAGGAGAAGAAGAAGAAGAAGAAGAAGAAGAAGAAGAAGAAGAAGAAGAAGAAGAAGAAGATGACGAGCGGAGCAGTTTTTTTTTTCTTTCTTACCTGTCGTTTATCTCGCGACCTATCGCTAATGAATGTAAAAAAAAAGAAGACAAAGAAGATAGTCGAAAGAGGAGGAGGAGTAGAGAAGAATAAGAAGAAGAAGATGAGGGGAGGACGACGACGAGAGATGACGACGAAGAAGAAGAAGAATAAGCTGAGAGGGGGAGGAGGAGGAGGAGTGAAGAAGTCGTGGAAGAAGAAAAGCAGAAGAAGTATAAGAGGAAGAAGAAGAAGAAGAAGAAGAAGAAGAAGAAGAAGAAGAGAGGGGGAGGAGGAGGACGGGAGAAAAAGAAGCAGAAGAATGAGCGGAGGAGGAGGAGGGGGGAAGAAGAAGAAGAAGAAGAAGAAGAAGACCGGCACTCCACGTCGACGGGCAGCAGGGGATGTCGGCAGGCAGGAGCACCACGATCGACAACGCTGGCGACGGGCGACGGGAGACACGACGACGACGGGCGAGTGAAGTTCCCAGGCGATGGCGACGAGGGCAGCTACTTCAACGAGGGGCAGCAGCACGAACGCAGGCGGCTCAAGCAGCTATCGAGGCCCCGTTTGGACAGCCAATGCAAGCCGCCCCAGCCAGTCGCTAGTTCAAACAGGGCCTCCGTTTCCCTCCAAAAACGAACGGCCCTCTGGCCGTCGATCATGGATGATCGACGGCCAGAGGGCCGTCCCAAATTCAACAAAAAAAAAACAGGCCTCACAGGCCCGACGCGCCGTTTTCTCGGCGTGGTCGGACCCGGTAGGCCCTGGGAAGGCCAAAACCACCCTATGTGGGGTCGGAAACCCCCTGCCACCAAGGTGTGCTGGGGGTGCCCGGCCCCCAACCGGGCCGCCCGCCCGGCCAGGCCGCCCGGGACCTCCATCGGGCAGGCGCCGGTCGGCCGGGCGGCCCGGATCCGTACTCAGAGTTTTTCTTAATTATTGCCCATCGCCAGAGACTTCGCAAACTCACCACACATAGCTTTCTGCCGTCATGCATTCACAGTCACGACACAAAGCGTACATAGCTACATCAGAGTCACACACACACTCTAATCACTGCATATATATCGTCAAATATATTTTACAAAGGCCTGGTGTCAAACTTGCCACACATAGCCTTCTGCCGTCATGCATTCACAGCCACGACACAAAGCGTAGATTGCTGCATCAGAGTCACACACACCCTCTAATCAGTGCATATATATTTTACCAAGGCCTGGTGTTATGATACCAACGGTTACTCACAGATAGTAGGTGCCATCGACACAAACTCATGGAGGATGATTGCAATACTGTTACACAGATTCTGACCCTTGCCTTGTAGCTTCAGAGATCAAAGAAATTTTCATCATTTGCCTCATGGTTGGACACGGACTCTCACTGCCTATGCCTCAAAGCAGTCATGCGGATTATCACCCCTCTCCATTCTCTCTCATGCACTGAATGCTCAGAATCCATGAAGTCATATAGATTAGCATTGCCCTCAAAGGTCTCTCATACGCACATTCTGCTTGTTTTTACATCATCACACAGCCATTCAGCGGCATTGACTAAGGGCTATATTCGCTGTTGCAAGCTATGGCCACAGCTGTCTACTGTTGTGTCACACATACATCCTCCATTTGATGTCCCTGAAACTCTTTATCATGTGGCAAAATGGCATGAGTTTCAGATTGGGAATGCCTGGGACATTCTGCAAACTGGAAGTCGACGATGTGGGTTAACTTTGCCTACCATTCCTTCGCTCCTCCAGCCTCGTAAGATTCTCCATTGCTGCATTCCGTGCAGCCCTTGCCAGGCTCTGCTTATCCCTCACTTTCTCAGACGCCTCAGCTGTCTCCTTCAAGGACCTTGCATGGTTTCTGCAGTCACAAGGAGGAAAGGTAGAAAGAAACAGCAGGTCAGCCACAGGCAACCGCTGCTCTACTCAAGAAAGCCATATCGGTGTTCGTGTGACATGAGCCTTCAGCACTTGCCCACTACTCGCGGATTGCGGGAAATGAAGAGTGTATGTTCCCAGTTTTAACAAAAGGATACATGCGCCACTTTGCTAATTTGCCAGGTAGTGGAGTGAGTTTGTCTGTGCTGTCCTCCCAATTTTAGGAGATACAAGCATAACCTCCCAATGATAGCAAATACAAGCATGACCCAGTCAAGAGTTGTTCCAGAGTTCAGACCGTGGTTATGCTGTCAGGTACGCTGGATGAATGGCAGGTCGTGCAGTTTTCAGATTCTGACCAAGACAATTTTGATAGTGACCCAGGCATCCAGGCACGACAAACCTCGCAAAGGTTCTCTTCACTGGAATCGCAGCCAGCTTTGGATACTGGCCGTGGACAGGCTTGGGAAGGCCCGTGTGAGGGAACTGGCGGTTTAAATGAACGAGATGAGGGTTAAGAGCCTTTGGGACCATCTGGGTTAGCTGACTTGTGTAGGTATTCATGGCGAGCTTTGTTTTCAACACATTCTTCTCTCTTCAGAGACCATTCCAATTAGCAACTTCTCAAGCCCAGTGCAATAAGTCTGGACGACAACGTCAACCAACATGCCATGCTCACACCAAGTTGCACACCTTACAGCACGCAAGAGATGAAATCCAAGCCAACCATTATGAGAACACAAGTTATCCCAGAGTCACGCTCTTATACAAACAAGTTTGTGTATGCCTGGCTGTGTGGCTATGGCCGCCAGCATTGACAACAACAGGAAAAACTCTCACACATTGACCCTCGGGCCTCTCTCTCTCCCCTCTCCGAATGTCTTCTCTCTCTCTCTCTCTCTGCTCAATATGATAACACCTACAACTATAGAGCCCAGCGCCAGTTGACTACTGCCTGTCTATAGTTGCCCTTTCCCACGGACTGCTCCAGTCATCACTCTGTTGCTCCTTGGCGCAGCAGTGCTTCCACACAAGCACAAGTGGAATGAATGCATGTGTTTTTGTATGTGAAAATACAGTTTCTAACTTTCTAGGCCTTGGGCTTGCAGAGCCGGTTGACCCGGTACCTTACCGGCTTCGTCCTTCATTTGTCCGGAAAATTCGTCGTTCTACCTGGGACTCTGGTAAAACGTGGTCTCAAACTCCCACCTCATCCAGAAAAATGTGACGCCAAGGCCTGAGCTCACCAGAAATTTCAATGGCCATAGGATGTTTGATCCTACAAAAACCTTCACAGAAAGTGGAAACCCTTCTGGAATCTAGTAGACGGTTTAGTGGAAAACAGTTGACAAATTCTTTTACAATTCCCTCATGGTCAGAATGCATCGCGCTTCTGCACTTCCAGGACTATTACGAGGCATCTAGATCCTATAATCGCAAAATCAGTCATTTGTGTACTTTCCCCTAATTATGAAGGATGATTGACGAATTCCTTTTACGCACCTGCAATCACCCTTACCCCTCCACGAACAAGGAACGCAAAGTAATATCAAACCCCTCTCCCCAGACAGAAGAAACAAAACTACTTGAGTTTTTTCCTGCCCTGACAGTTCAGCCCCAACCCAGGTCATCCTGTGTAGACACCTGGATCAGGATATGCATCCCCCAGGCCCATCGGAGCTGGCACAGTATATTTACACCCCTCCGAAATCTCCCCCTCTCAGGTTCAGGGTTCCCAGAATATTTACACCCCATCTATGCTGAAGCACAACCCCGAGAATCGCCTCTCGCACAATGTGACCGTCCACTCATGCCAAGTGAGCTTTGTCCTGGAGCCGCTGCTCGAACTTCTGAAAACTTCTCCAAGCCCAGGCTCCAGGGAGGTCCATCCAGATGGTGGCACACATGAATGCTTGAGTGTAGGGTTCAGGCTGTAGAGTAGGATGGTGCAAGTTTCTGGAAAGCCAACTTGCATGACTTCCCCCCCTGAGGAATACAGCCGCCAAAGGCGTCCGATGAAGTTTTAGACTTTCAGCAGTACAGAAGCATTCAACTTGTTTGGAAGAGCACAAACAGCACAATTGCAAATAATGTGGACACTGCCACATATCTGTGTGTGTTGCCACATTGTCCCTGCCATCAACTATGGCATAATACAAACCCATCATCAATCCATTAGAACCACTCACCATCAAAAGTTTGACAAGGCAAACATCACAACCATCACACTCCAAAACAGCGTCAAACGTTGCAGTGCAAAAACAGTTAGTTACTGCGTTCACAGATACTCAGGAAGCAGGACAACGCTCCGCCCACAGAGGATCATGCACTGCCTGTGGGAAACATATCAATGTGGGAAACATATCAATAAATCTGCCACAAGCACCGCAATCTGCCATAAGCACCGTAATCTGCCGCATGTACCAGTCTTCCACAACCAATTCACAAGTACACCCTTTTTACAATAGAACTCTCTAGGGAGGAGTGACTTGACATGATTTCCCAAAAACTTCAAATGAAGATGCTGGCAATTGCACAGAGAAGTTGCGAGTAGTGGAAAGATATTATGGGACAGCATTGACCCACTCACTCTATGACAGTCTTCAAGGTTTTCTTGAGATCTTGTGGGCTGGGAACCTTTCCCAGCGCATTCACGAATGCCCTCTCATTGTCACTCAATCTGCCATGAAAGAGAAATATTTCCCCAGAAGAAGAAGCAAATGCAAGGAAAATGAGCAAAGCGAGATGACAGAATCCAGAAAGCACAATCACATTGAAAGCCAGATAGTCTCACTGTGTCCAGAGAGCAGCGTTACACCAATAATACACCAATGAAGAATCGTAGCACTGAAAACGAATGTCAACGAGTGTTCGCACTTGTCACCACCAACATAAGAGTCCAGGCCCTTCCCCCTACTTGGCGCTCGGCGCCCAGACTACTCCCTTACAGCTACCATCTACCTACGAATTGACAATGCAACTGTTGACGTCAGCAGCCACCGAAATACATGAAGATGTCGCCCAATGCAGATCATCACCAATACCAGGTACGCGCCCTCACATCATCACCATCATCATCCTCTCTCTTCCTCCCTCATCTTTACACCCTTCGTCTTCCCTCTGTATCACCCGAAGACCACCCCTGCGCCTCACTGTAGTCCAAGCCCCAGCCTGCTATGGAGGGTGGGCTATGGCGCTGCCCTCAGCAGCGCCCTTCTTCTCGCACGACCGCACGCGCACAGCAGCATGCGAGCCTACGCTCCAGCAGCGCTGCCGCACAAACTGGCAAGTGAGTGAATGAGCAGCCCGGCAGCGAGCTCTTTCCTATATGGAAAGAGTCTGGCCTGGCCTGCAGCCTGGCTGGGCTGGGCCTGCGCCCAGAAGCTTCCGGTAGGCCCCAGGAGGCTGGGCATCTGCTGCTGCGGCTGGGCCGTGTTCAGTTACGCCTCCCAACTGTCTGTGTATGTTGCTGCGATTGTGGCCCAGGGCCTGCACTTCAGATAAGGCCTGGAAGGCCGAAGAAAATATTTGTTGCTCTGTACCTGGGTTTCCTCAACCAACTGGTGCGACACAACTGCCTGAATCCCAAAATGTGAGATTGACAGTGAGGGCCTTTGTGCTCTTCCAGGCCCGCCTTCACTTAGGGCGGGCACATCTGTTGTGAGGGCCCCTTAGGCCTGCCGAGGAGCCTGATCCTTGCACAAACGAACATTTCCCCGCCAAAAGCAAACAAACAGTGATAAGACAGAAGTTTACCCAACAGACATAAATATTGTTGAAAGCAGATCAGACATTCACCCCAAGAATATAAGCATTCATCCATATGTGAGGCTTCAGGCCTCGGTGAGTCCAGGATGGCCACGTGTGAATAATGCAAGGCCACCCTAGGTGAAGGCACGGCTGAGAAAAGGAAGGCCAGCCCTAACTGAAGGCCGGGCCAGAGGGATGCTGGGGCCAAGACAGGCGCAAGCCCTTGTAACTAACCAGTTGGTTTAGCCTGCAGTTAGGTACAGAGGCCGGCGCCTGGACTCAGACCCGTTGGCAGTAGGAACTGCCTACTGGGGCCTCCAGAAGAGACAAAAGTAGGGAGGCCGCTGGGGATAGCACATTCGGGCATTGGCAGCCTGTGGGAATGCTGGAGCAGCATAGAGCGGCCAGATAGCGCCCGGGAGAAAAGTTTTTCATAGTCAATTAAGAATGTTTTCAATCTTAAAAATGAATCATCATGGGGAAAAAGAAAGAACAAAAAAAGAAACAAAAGAGTACCAAAAAATAAAAGCCCCAATTAGATCAATTTACATATTTCACACAGTTCCTTTGGTTATGTTGCAATCAGACTCGTTTTCAAACACACTTTTCACACATGTAAACAGTAACGCAGCACACTGGCAACATGCGCCCACTCAAAACTCAGAGATATGGCTTTCAGATACGAGTTCACTCTCAATTGGCTATGGCGACTTCAGCGCCCAAACATCTCACTGTTCACATACACTGGATCACCCTGGATATCCCACACGCATCACTCTAACACTCGAGCACACACACACACTCACTACTAATTACAGCTATGGCAGCTATGGCTGCCTCTAACCTATCGCTATGCTAACTCCTCCTCTCTTGCCCACTGCGTCCCYCRGRCTCATCTGCAGACCTCCTTGCACAAGTCGCTGTGGCAGCGCTTCCGCATGGCTCACGCAGGAATGAATSAATGGCTGGGCGCTGCCTCTTGATTTATACTTCAAAAATTCGTTGGTCTGCTCTTTGCCATCGGCCCTTGGTGCTCACAGTCCCCCTGTGGTACTTGCTGGACTGGACTGGGACTCTCTAGACCCTTCTCCTGACTGTAGGCAGTCGTACCGTCGACTCAGTGCAGTTGCACTGAGGTCCTACCTGTTGACCTTGCCACTTGTCTTCGTCTGAAAA